CTGATGCCGGGGGCTTAAGTGAGAGGAAATATTTTGGGAATGATGAGGGCAATGAATGCACGAATGCGCTTTACATAGTTGATGTGTGTGTGGATTGTGATAAGAGTTGTATGAGCCCCTAATAAAATGATTAAAAAAAACAAACTCCTTTTTTAATAAAAACAACCCAAAGTGTCAGATCTCTATGACTATGAATTACAGACTAAAATCCCACCTCTATTAATATTCTTCCCCTTAACCTACTTGTTCTCAATAGTACTTATCTTCAGTTAATATGTACAAGTGACATTTCAAATGTTATTACAAATAGAATGTGATCAAAATTTAACTTTAAATGTATTCCAGTGGATATAATCTTCAGCTGATTCTAAACAAAAATGTGCATCTTTTCTTGTTCCATGGTTTTCCTGCTAACTTTAATAACATCTCCAATAAGTAATTTGTATATCAAGTCCAAGTTAGTACTGTACATTGTGAACTTCTTTTAACATTAAATTTCCTCACCTCTCCTCAAAACACATTCTAATTTCCCAGAGGGTAGGAGAATGGAGGTGTTCTCATAACCATATGTAGGTCTGACAGAGGATATGTGTATATGTACATTTATTTACCCTTGCATAAATACATCCATGAGCATACAGGAGACAAACTATTAAAACCTTTCAGACACAACCAACCTTGAGGGAATGAGTCATTGGGTCTGGGGGCTAAGGACCAAGATCAAGAAGGGGATATGGGTGGAGGGCCAAGTAGATTAACATAGGCCACAAAGACAATGTTCTACATCCTACTTTGATGAATGCTGACTCAGGTCTTAAAAGTTTGTGGGTGGCCATGAAAGGTACAATTAATTGGTTTTTCTCTACGCGAAAGAAAGAAGAGTGATAAAAATTGAAGATATATAGAAACAATTAGTTCAATGGACTAACGAACTACTTTAACATCAGTCTTCATAATCGATATTAGAAAAACTAGATGGTTGCAGCTACTACTACTAAGTACTCTGAAGAGGAACACATTAAAATGTCCTGAATAGAGTGTGAAAAAAATGTGGACAAAACTCAAAATCATAACAAAGATCCGACTTACTTAGCAGAAAGAGACTGATAGAACCGCTAAGACTATAGCTCTTAGTCACGCTTCGTGTCTGGAAATGAACTCAACCCTGTGGCTCAATTTCAGCTACAGAATAGATAAGTCCATGTGGGGTACACTGAACATTAACGACAGAAGACCTGAGGAGCTGTGGGAGGACATCAAGACCATCATTCATGAAGAAAGCGAAAAGTCATTAAAAAACTAAGGAAATTAAGAAAAGATCCAAGTGGATGTCAGAAGAGACTCTGAAACTTGCTCTTAATTGTGGAGTAGCTAAAGCAAATGGAAGAAACGATGAACTCAAAGAGCTGAATAGAAAATTTCAAAATCAAATGTTATGATGAAAGGTGCAAAGACCTAGAATTACAAAGCCAAAATGAAAGAATATGCTAGCATACCTGAAAGAAATCAAGAAAAAAGTCAAGCCTCGATCTGCAATCTTGAAAGATTCTATTGGCAAAATATTGAATGATGCAGGAAGCATAAAGAGAAGATAGAAAAAA